TGTCTCCCACTTCTTTTCATTTGTCTCCCAGTTCTTTTCATTTGTCTCCCAGGCTGGGTGCTTGTGGTCGGGTTCCCGGCTGGCTTGTCTCCCACTTCCTTTCACTTGTCTCCCACTTCTTTTCATTTGTCTCCCAGTTCTTTTCATTTGTCTCCCAGGCTGGGTGCTTGTGGTCGGGTTTGCGTCTGGCTTGTCTCCCACTTCCTTTCATTTGTCTCCCACTTCTTTTCATTTGTCCGGGCTGGGTGGCTTGTCTCCCACGTCCTTTTTTTATTTGTCTCCCACTTCTTTCTATTTGTCATTTGTCTCCCAGTTCTTTTCATTTGTCTCCCAGGCTTCCTTTCATTTGTCTCCCACTTCTTTTCAACTGTCTCCCACTTCTTTTCATTGTCTCCCAGGCTGAGTGCTTCTGGTCGGGTTCGCGCCCTTTTCCGCTGGCCATCTGGTGTCCGCCCTTTTCCGCTGATGTCCGCCCTTTTCCGCTGGCCATGTAGCATTTCTATTCGTTTGTCTCCCAGGTCTCTCACTGCTGGTGTTCGCCCTTTTCCGCTGGCCATGTAGCATTTCTATTCATTTGTCTGGTGGTGTCCGCCCTTTTCCGTCGGCCATGCAGCATTTCTATTCATTAGTCTCCCAGGTCTGTCACTGTTGGTGTCCGCCGTTTTCCGCTGGCGATGCAACATTTCTATTCATTTGTTTTTCAGGTTTGTCACTGCTGGTGTCCGCCCTTTTCCGCTGGCCATGCAGCATTTCTATTCATGTGTTTCGCGGATCTGTCACTGCTGGTGTCCGCCCTTTTCTGCTGGCCATGTAGCATTTTTATTCATTTGTCTACCACATCTCTTTTGGCCATGTAGCATTTCTATTCATTTGTCTCCCATGTGATTTCTTTCTTTTTGTCTTTCAGGTTTGGTGCCTGCACTGGTGTTTTCTGCCCTGTCCGCTGGAACAGGTTCACCTGTGAAAGGTTCTTGCTCCTTTGAAATGGGTGCGTGACTGTCTCCGGGGTTGCATTCCTGCCGCAGTGTGTAACTCTCTCAGCTTTGTTTTCCTTTTCGGGCAAGCGTTGGATGAATGACCGGATTGGATTTCGGCGGCGTGGCAGCGATCTCTCTGTTCAGTTGGGACGGAGGGCATACGTCAGGCACCAAAAATCAATTTCATGTCACATCCTTCGCTCCTCATGCTTTTGTTTCTTGTCCTCACGTGGTCAGCTCCCCGCTGATTGAGCAGCATGACCAGCATCATGTTCGCACTTGAAGAATAATTCCCCAAAAGGTTTAGGGCTTCTCAATTCTTTTCTTAAGATATGTCCGCCTGCTCTGTACGGCTGTGTCCGTCTCTGCCTTGCAACCCTTTACATTTGTCTCCCAGCTCTGGGCTGCTGTGGCCGCCTCTGCCTTGCGCAATCCCTTGTCCAAGCTCTAGTTTCGATGTTGAAAAAACACAAACTGTTTGGGGTCTACGGTGGTGTAATTCTTTCATGGACCCAAAACCTGGTACGGAGCCCCTAAAATAAATCTTGTAGCCTAAGTTTCTTCATTCTGTGCACAAGAATGATTTTGGACTTGCACGAAGAAGTCTGGCTTCTCGTCCCCACTCAGTGAAGTGAGCACACGCCGCACCTCGAGACCTCTGGATCACTGAGCCTTCCCACGTGTGGCAGCAGCGCCTGGACGACCCAAGTGGTGATACCTTGTGGGTGTGAAAAATACAGAGACCAGCATCACCCGGCATACCACCAACAACCCCGTGGAAGGTTTGGAAAATAGACCAGTCAACCCATTGATTGTGGGTCTCCCTATTAAAATACACCTCCAATGTGAAGAAGTGCCAGCTCTTCCTCATTCTTCTACGTTTCTACTCTACAGATCTCCCCCCAGTCCACAGATCTCCGCAGCAAAGGCCCCACTTTCAGGGTCTCTACATCAACCCCACCGCACCGTGTGCAATCCATCGCTTCGCACCGCGCTCTTGCGGTCTCTCGTCGCGCTGGTGTCTCGAGACCCGTCTCGAGGTCTCGAGGTCTCGACGGGTCGAAACGTGTCCTCCAAGAGCTCCTCGAGATCCTTTGGGCTCAAGAATCTCAGCCTGGCAAGCCTCGTGCAGAGACGGGGATGCTTGCACCAAGCAGGCAGCCATCGTGTCACTGGGTCGGTCTGGAATCAGGCAGAAAAGAAAGAACAGAGGCCTGTTTCAGGGCTGAAATCATGTTTTAAAAAAATCAGGAGGTTCCGGTAGCTCCTCAGTTCCTCTGATTGAAACAACCATATATATATATATACAGAGGTAACAACCTACTTGAGATCACTTGGCAAATACCTTGTGCTTGTCACGCTGGTCTCAGCCTCAAAGTTCCTCAAAAGTACAGCAAGACAACTGGCTGTGGGTCAAAACCAGGATACTTTATCTTGGTTGACCTACCCGGGAGGTCGTTTGCTACATCGTCCCGCACGCACAATGCGTACGTGAAGCCAAAGATTGAAGATGCAAGCTCACGTTTTTCCCATTCTCAAGGTCCTAGACTCCTCCGAGAGTTCTGGCAGCTGCCAAAAACTCGACATGGAAAAATGTCAACATAAAGTGACATGACAACAAGCCGGTGCTGTGGTCAATCATACGGAAACGTTGGCTGAGTGACCCATAGCAGTGGTTCTTCTGACTCCCCTGACACACGCCCAAAACCAACTATATGCAAACATACTAAAGCCGACAACTTGCCTTTCTGAGCGGCTTGCTCTTGATCTGCCATTTCGTCTCTGACCATTCTGGTCTTTGGAGAGCGCAATGGACAGCTGAGTTGCATTAGCAATCTTGCTGGCACTCTTGGCACTGGCATGAAAATGCCAAGCATAAAGCTACCAAACGCGCGGCTCCAAGTGAAAGAACCCAGAATTCAGTACAATGGCAAAATCTGACGCTAAGGTGAACTCCTTGGACTCAAACTCCTAAGTAGTCGGATCCTCCTTGACGAGTGAAATATATCACATGTGAGCTCTTGCAACAGCCAGCCCAGTAGTTCCTCATTAAACAACAGCACTTACTCCACCTGGAACAACAAGTTGTATGTTGTTCCATCATGTTAGGATTTATCTATATAATATACACTGCGTTGGTGTTAGCACTGCCATACTGTCAAATGATTGCACAAACGCAATAGAATGAGTAAGTGTAATTATGAGAATTTGATGCATGAATGCCTGCTGCCAAACGCAAGCGTCAATTTGGGGGTACGATGCAACATTCAGAGGTCTGTCTGCAGGCATACTGAAAAGGACTTGGTCAATGTCACCAACCAAACTATAATATCATGGTCCATCTTCTATCTTAGTAGCTCTGTTCCTTTGCTAGCCTATCTGTGGTGTATGATGTATTGTCTATAGGCTAGTGCATTATTCGTCTGAAATATATAACCGATCCTGTGTATACAAATACGTATTCTGCAAATGGTCTTTGGACCATGCCTAATGTCCTGCTTGCTAATTATACAAGTCGAAATGGATGTGAAATAACAAACAATGCACGCAGCTGATGAAGGGACCAACACAATGGTCGATCTTGTTCAGAGTAGAAGTGCAAAGAACGATTTGCGTGTCGACTCACTATTTGAAATGACATGAATATAACAGGATTAAGGCAATAGTGTTCTTATGTGTCGATCTTTCAAAGTAACCTGCAACATGGATAGAAATTGAGGATGGAATTCTACAATTCAACGATGGCGTATACATACATATTAATGAATTGATTGAAGATGTATATATAATACTATTTAGAGCGATTTAGCGCTCAACTGGGTTCCCACAAAGACAGGAGCCACATCCAGATCTGTTGTGACGCTCATCTCAGCATCGCAAACCGAAGTTCCTCAATATGTTCCTTAATGATTGCACCAAAGTCACCACCGCGCGAAGCGATGCAATTGAGCAAAGCTGACCTCGGCAGGGAGGATCCTGTGCTTTCATGTCGCACATGACCGAATCAAAACATCGTCTCAAAAACTTGGTGAACCCCAGTTCTTCAGCGCACAACTCCCAAGTTGTTCAATGCCCTGAAATCGTGCCAAGTGGCAAGGACATCTTCCGCAACTTTCGCTCAAGGTGGCCTCGGGCGCATAGACTCTTGCACCAACGCTGCTGGTTGCATTGCTTTTGGGGATTCCACTGAAAAGTAGTAACTTCTTTTCAAGAGGTCCATAGGTTAGGTCTAACACCATATACAGTATACAGTATAATGAGTGTATATATGTATATGAGTATGTATATGTGATTCGAGGAGGCAGGATTCCGTGTTGGAAGGGAGAATAGAGGCTCTGAGGGCCCCTGAAATGCACCAGCTGCAGCTTCTCAGAAAAATGAACGAGAAACCCATGTTCCAAACAATCTGATTTCCCAAAACGACTCACAACTATCAATCTTCTGTGCCTATATACACTCACATTCTTTAGGGAAATGTAGTAATGTCTCATGTGTCTTGAATCCTGCAAGCCCACTGGAAGCTCTTTCCATGTCATCAGAATGACAGTTCTCATGGATTCCGCATTCAGGAGAACGAACACTGCCACAAAAGACTGGATCAACAAAAACCAACAATGAACATTGACCGACCCTCAATAAACCCACCACCGCCCCAAGAATTTCTCGAACTCCTGGGCTTTCCAGCGATCTTTGCACATCGGCGGGAAAGGATCCACCATCTTCGATTGGAGCGTTTTGACCAAAGGGTCAGCGAGTTCTGCTGACAAGTCCGGAACCGCCGAGATGGCCATGTGGATGTGTGGCAGCAACAAGGCCACCAGCTCACCCAGGTCCTTTGGAATTGGGGAGGGAAGGATGTCGTCATTGGGAGGGACGCCTATCTCGATGGCCTCATGTTCTATGTACACGAAACAACGAGCAGATCACATAGAAATGGACAATGCCCACTGGGAAGACCATTTTCCTGTAAACCCCTTAGAATGAAACCGGGTAGGTAACAGAAAATGACAATGAGCGTATATGACACAACGATAAAACCACACTATGAGGTTTTGAACCCATGTGTGAATGTACAGAGAGAAGAATCATGCAACTAATTCGGAACGAAAGCGTCTATGACGGCCAATTGCATTGGGGGAGCAAGTCATCGAAGGATTTATCTGCAAGAACTACTTTTTCGAACATTTGCTTTGAAACGTTCTTTCGTAGCCTCAAACGACTTTTCATGTTACCATTCTGGTTTGATTCGGCAGTAACACGCTGAGTGTTTGAACAAGTGTGGGTGGAGACCGACCCTCCAGCTCCGCGTAAGGAATACACGGCACTGGCATTAGGTCAAAGCGGTCGTCGTAGGTCATCCACACACTTTCTCTGGAAGCCCATATGAAGCAAGCTCATTGCTTTGGATTTGGATTAATTTGGATTCAAGGTCGTCCGGGACGAATTTGCGAGAAATTGTACGAAATGCAGATGCTTGTCTCAGCACGGATCAGTGGTACTCGGTCTAGAGTAGAGCTTTAGGGGAATCAAAGGCTATTGGTCCCGACACCTCATCTGTTTTGGTTATATATGCCAAATAGGAAGTTGCAATCCCGAGGCCATGGTAAAAGAAGTAGCTAATTCAGCCCAGGTAATTCCAGGGTCATTTGGTTGAGCAACAGTGGTTGGATCTGGCCACTTCAAAGTCTGGCAGAATAGCCAGACACCTGTGGCAAGCCCCGCACCATTTTCCTCCACAAACAGCTGGCTGTCCACTTCCGTGTTAGTTAGCCAGAGAGTAGATCGACTCTTCATTTTGGGTGAACCCCCGCCTCAGCCAGGAGGGAGAAACAGGTGAACACCTGCTGTGGCTATTCGTCATAAACTCCCAAGCAATTTGGAATCCCTTAAAGGAAGTACAAAGAATGGAAAGACGTCAAAAAGCCAGCTTGGGAAACTAGGGCGCCTTGTGTCGCTTGTGCTGTAACTGATTGGGTCTATTCTCTCAGTCCACCCACAACCTCCTCTGCCAGCGAGTTGCGATCATCCGCAAGTACTGCCGCTGGTTCTTGTCGAGAGCGAGCTTCAAATGTTGGTGCTGAAGGTGACAATAGGCACAATTGGCACCAAGATTGCATTCCCCTTTGAAGAAGCGCACACATGGGCGGCAGCAAAGAACCGGATGTCCAATGCTGCCGGGGCTCAACGCAGCCTCCTCGTCTTGCTTTTTGTCTGGCTCGGCCTCGGCAGCCTCTATTGATCAGGTGGTTGGGAGTTGATTGGGGCACAAATCAGCTAATGTAGACTCTTGATTAATCAATCCCCCATATGAAGAGGACTGTCCAATTCAAATGGGGGGGCATATCAATCAAGAGTCCACATTCTCCCGTATCCCCGCTATTATCTATCTGTCAATCCTTCCTCCTATGCTCCATCAATCTCCATCACGGCCACTCTCAGCAAACAATCCGAGGCTCGTGACATTTCTCGTGGAGGTCCCTCCTCAAAGCAAAAATCCCGAAATTCCCCGGCCTCATTCACATCGGTCTCGCTCTCTGGAAATGGAGCAAAACGAAACTCCTCTGCCCAGGATCTCCCAAGCAAGGTCGCAAGATACCTGAGACATCAACCAAGCACAAAGATCCAAGGAGCGACTGTGCAGTTGGAGGGATTTACGATGCAGTTTGATCATCATGGTCATGTTGTTGCGAGACTCCGCCGTGGCGGCACGAGTGGAGGCAGAACCAGCTAGGCATGCACTGTAGCTTTGGTGAGGGCAACCAGGAAAATGGTGTGGCAATGTGTTGCATGCCCTCTTTGCGGGCTGCAGCACAAGACTTTAAAAACATTATCACAACACTGCAAAAATGCTCCCAATGGCCATCCGTCCGTCGTGAAAGCACAATGCAAGAAAACACCGACAAACAACTTAATGAAGAGTTATTCTACAAAAAAAAGTAATATAAACATAGCAAACATGCAAAACATATATAGATAATTATATATATAGTTAAAAGAATAGGAAAAAAAAACATATTGCAGGCCGGCATGCTCAGACTCTTTGACGTCTGCTTCTGTTCGTGCACGTGCGGGTGAGAAGCTCCTGGCGTGAGGTAGTTAGTGCGGTCAGTGCGTGATGTTCGTCATGACTCATGCACGTAAGGCTTTCCAAAAACTTCCCCACTAAAGGTAAGGACGACGTGCTTTTTTACTAATAATATGGTTGTGAGTCAAAACCTGGAGCCCCTGGACTCACCCTTGGTTCGGTTGCCGTCTGGTGACGTCTATTCTCATGTTCGGTGGGAACCGGTCGGTCCCTGGGTGCGACCCACAGCGACCTGCGGATCGACGCTTCCCCCGTCCTGGACCTCCCTGAATCGACGTCATATCCTTCCTCGACGTCGATGAAGGTGCCACGAAGTCGTAGCGTCGCCATGAAACTCCACGTTTCGAGACTCAACCGTGCAAGACGCACGAAAGCACCAAAAAAAAGAACACTAAGCAAATCAGTGCAGAACGCACTAACTACCTCAAACTTGAGCACACCCCAAACCGCCGTGGTAACCCATGCGACATCGTGCGATGTAGAATGCCCGGAAAAAAATAAGAGAGTGGCAGGCTGTGGGAGTGCACCTTTTTAGAAGATTGGATGTGATTGAAGATATGTATGCACTAGTTTTGTGGCTTATCAGCATCTAGTGTCAAGTTGCTTTTGAGTCTGGCCCTCTTGTGATGGCAGAGATAGAAGGTGTTAAAATAATCAGTTCCTTTTATATTTCATTTTCCCTTTTGTGATTCCCTTTCATTTTCCCTATTAAATTGAACAATTCCTCTCATTTTACCTCTAAAAAATGATTCATGCCTTCCATATGTCATTTTCCCTTTTATGAATCCCTTTCAACCTGCAATTTGTATAATTGTCTTCAATGTTCCTTTTACATATGATTATATATTTGTTTTCATTGTCCATTTAAAATTGATTAATACCTATAGTTTGTTCTTGAAAATGATTATTTCCTGTTATTTTAATGATCTATTCCTTTCATTCATCCTTTGCAAATGATTAATTCCGTTCATTGTTCCTTTAAAATCTAGGCCTATTGCTAATGAAAAGAACGTGAAAAACTGCACTCCCAGGAGCTGCGGTTCTGAAAAAAAAAAGACAGAGTGTTGGCACAAAGGGCCGGAGGGAGACTCCTGTCAGGATCAAAAGATATCAAGAGAGTCTGCCTTTGGCTCTAAGTGTATAACTGTATAACTGTTAAAAACAAAAAATGATAAGGAGTCAATAATTCAATAATAAGTACAAAGGAAGTGTTGTGAAGTACCTCTTTCAGTTCCTCGCTAGCTGCTTGAACGCGTATCACATGACCGCATGTTCTCCGGGAGTGGGGAGCGCTCGGGGTGCAGGGCAGGGCGCTCGGGCGGGGGTGATCTACTTGGACACCGTGGAAGTTCGCCTTCTGCGCTGGCAGAACTGGTGGTGGGCACGCGAAAGCGAAGTTCTCCCGAACACACCCTGAGGTCAGTGGCTCTCTTTGGATGGAAGAATTTGGACACACACACACACAACATCACACAACCTCGGGTTTTCTGAAGAAAAGAAGACCATCTGGAGGAAAGTAGAGTCTGTGGATTGGAAAGAAGACCCTCTACTGAGGATTGGGTCCATCACCTGATTGGAGTCCAAAAGTCTGAAAGAGCAGCCGACCGTCCGTGCTGTGCCTCCGATGTGAAAGGCATGGCAGTGTCGGCCGAGAGCAACAGTTCCTAAGCATACCTAGAACCCACCGTTCCCTGTTTTGACAGGAAAAGACCCTATTTTGAGTGGTTGGGGCTCCAAAATGGGGGGTTACTCAGGTTCTAGCTACAGTAGATACACCACCCGGATCGTCTTGGTAACACCGACTGCCACCAACTGCCAGCCAAAAGAACGAGTGCGCGATGGACACCAACTGCTGCGGAGTAAAGAGCCACAAGCTACCTGGGCAAAATGGCTGTGTCTCAACTGCTAAGAGCTTGGGGAACTTCCGGGCCAACGTCTCTTCGGCTCCCTGTTTCATGGGGAAGAACTGGATTTTCCATGAGGTTCCCTGTCTCTCTGTCTCGGGCTCTCTGCTGGGCTGTTGGAACAAAGAACCAAAAAATTCAGGGCGGCGGCAGACGGGATCCGGCTTTTGACCTTGACGCTGCAGCCACATTATGGCGCCACTTTCCTAGTACTGCGACGTTACATTCCCTGACGCCACATTCCCCCCTGACGCCGCATTACCCCCTGACGCCGCATTCTGGCGCCGCATTCCCTGACGCCACATTACCCCCTGACGCCACATTACCCCCTGACGCCGCATTCTTCCCTGACGCCACATTCCTCCCCTGACGCCACATTACTCCCTGACGCCACATTTGACGCCACATCCCCTGACGCCGCATTCCCCCCTGACACCGCATTCTGACACCGCATTCTGGCGCCGCATTCCCTGACGCCACATTGCCCCTCTGACGCCGCATTACCTCCTGGCGCCACATTCCCGGACGCCGCATTTGCCCGTGACGCCACATTACTCCCTGACGCCGCATTCTGGCGCCGCATTCCCTGACGCCACATGGCCCCTTTGACGCCGCATTACCCCCTGACGCCACATTGTGACGCCGCATTCCCTGACGTGACAGGACCCCGTCTGAGGCTCCAAACTGCACGAAACGGTTCTTCGTAGCAGGGGCCGTTTTGACACTGTTGAAGCAGCAGGCAACCCCAACACATGTCCAAGATATGGCAGAACACACAGCGCAACAATTGGACATTGTGTTGTATTAAAAGGTAAGAAGCCCCCGTACCGCGCACGGTATGATTGAACATAGCCTTCCTACTTAGCTCAACGTACCACTGAAACGGGACTGGGCACCCTTAACAGTAAACTTGTGCGTTGAAGCTCTTGTTCGCGCAAATCTGCACTAAACTCTGCCACTCCCATCACCCTGACATAGGCTTCAGATGATACAAAACGCCAGGCATCCTTGAGTCTGGGTTGAAATGAGGCCCAACATGGGCCCACAATTCACTCAACATAGCTTCAACTTAGCCTCCAAATGGGTCCAGCACGTCCAACAGAAGTTTGTCGAATATTCGGGTAAGTCACGTCATGGGGACACATGCGCAAAACCTTCAAGATAAGTATGAATGGTCTGCTCTCAGAATGCAATCCCCCCATGACAAAGGCTGGTTCTTTCTCCAAACCATGTGTATATCACGCTGCGCCGGCAGCTGCCATCACTTCCATTGGGGATGGTACCTGATATAACATGATGAGAGTCAGGGAAGAAAAGCAACAATACAATACAACTTATCTATTTGATCATGTCTGTCATGACCCTTGCATTTTTCATCAATGGATTTGGGTCCAATTCATTGGACCTTGCAAACCACAAAATCCTTACAAACAAGGCCATCACCGGCACAACAGCGTCGAAATGATTATTTTCGGCGCTGCCACGATAACGCTACTTTTTTCGATGCGGCCAGGACCACTGCGGGAATGCGACCTTGGATTTCCGGTCAGAAGGTCCTGGTGGTACCTATTTCAGTCTATCCTTTGTCATGTTCACCATCCACCAGCTAACAAACCCGGACACACACTCCACAGCTGTGCGTGTCTTCTGTAAAATGTATGTTGTAGCAATGGCAGTCGTTAGTCAGGGGCCGTCTGGGAGGCAAACCACAAATCTATGGTCCAGCTTTCATGTTTGACAAACAAAAGTTGATGTTCCAACGTTCCAGTGTGTTCAGGAGGAAAAGCTAGCAAACAAAAACCACCCCGAGATATCCCAAGATATCGCAGCACAAACTCCATGAATGGATGTAACATGATGTAACAACTGTACCTTCTCTCTTGAAGACAAAGAAGGTTCCAGGATTGTGATGGATTCTGTAGGGTGGGCTTGAATATCTTGAATGATGCTTTTTCGATATTGTAGCCACAGGACAGCATCTGCCAGGTGCATCGATCGGTTGATGCAAAACACACATCTGAGGCCATGAAGAGACTTCTGCGGAGTTTAAGAGTCTGGGTGATGAATATGCAAGATTGGTTTCTTATGTAGACCCTAGGTGTTCTCTCATGTCTAGGCTGTGAGGAAGTCTGAGATTGTGGATTCCAGCTCCTTTGAATTCGGTGTTTGGGTTCAGGGATCACCTGCAACATCATCATGGAACTGCTCAAAGGACATGAAAAAGCACACAGACAGACATGTGACATGTGCGTGTTTCTGGATGCACAAACAAAGCTCCCGCAAAGCCAAATCTCCCAGCAATGTCCGCATCGGCCGGATTGCACTGAGATCTCCGCACCCTGTAGCGAGGCCCATAGCGCTGCTCCCGGCCGGTGCCATCCCAAAACTAGAGAACCACAACGAAGACCCAAACGTGCATGTTCAGGGGGATTCAGCCCCATGTTGCATCTGTTTAAATATGTTTCAAAAATCCGGCGATCGGTCCCAATCCCGAACCCCAAATCCATGGGGGAAAAAAAGATGGAAAAAGGATCACTTAGGACATCCCTGCGGACGAACTCCCAGTCCCTGCGGTCAACTTCCACCCTCGGAAGACCCTCAGAGTACCGACTGGCATCCATGGCATCCATGGCATCTCCAGATCTCCTCCTCTTCGCTATCCATGCCGACCAATGGCTCAGCTCACAGCTGTGAGCCCAAGAAGCAATGGCCATGATGATCATGACGGGATGTGCAAATCTTCGGGTAACTACTATAGCCTATAGCCATAAACAACGGCTGCTGTGGAACGCAGACCATAAACATGCTACCTCCACGTACATGGCAGCACATGAAGCGGCAATCAAAGATTTCTGCTGCTATAAACTGCATCTTCAGCCATCGGCACATATCTGCTCAATCCGATCCAACATTGCCATCAGAATTCGTCTGCGGAAAGCGTCTTCGGGGTCTAATTCGTCTTCGGG